CGACACACACACACACACACACACACACACACACACACACACACACACACACACACACACACACACACACACACACACACACACACACCTTGTTTTCGTTGTCGCCGGCAATGAGGTGGCAGAGGATGAAGAAAGCAGTACCGCGGACAGCGCTCTCGCCGTGATACAGCAGCGGCACAACAGCAGACATGCGCGCATGCTCGTGCTGGGGGGAAGGAGGAGAGCGGCAGGGGAGAGGGGACAGGATGGTGAGGGGAGGCCGGCATTGGACATCATGGTGCATAGGGGACGACACGCAGACAAGTTGCCACAAGTACAAAAACTCGCAGACTCAGAGACAAGCACCAAACACAGCACGGCAAACGCGACACACAAAACATCAAACACCAGACACAACACGAGACGCCACATCCACCAGAATACACACCATAAACTTGTCTGGACACAGCGTGGCAACATCCGAGGCGAGGATTTTGGTCAGCGCATACTGCGGTGCTTGCACATCCCTGATCAGGGCGAGGGGGCGATGAAGTGATGGAGGGGGAGGGGGCGAGAACAGCCATCGTGAGCACAAAACAGTGCAGCCTGACAACAACGCAGTGAGTGTGATGGAGACAGTGTGACACACAACAAACAAGTCAAACGCACACACACAGCAAGTGTGTGCGTACAATATGTGTCCTGCTTGCTGGATGGCGGTGATGAGGGCGACGGCAATCTGCGGCACGAAGAAGTTCTGCCACTCCGGCAAGATCTTGGCCAGGACCGGGCTCAAGTTTGGCGCAACGCTCCCAGCCTTCAAGGGGGACGGAGGTGGGATGTGAGTGGCAGTGTGCGAATGAAGCATTGGAAGGGCGCGAGTGTCCACAGACAGACAGAGACAGACAGACAGACAGACAGACAGACAGACAGATGGGCGCAACCACGAGCACACATGACAGACAGGCAGCCAGCCAGACAGGCAGACAGGCAGACACATGCGCGCGCACGCACACAAACACACACACGTCACACCTGGGCGAGCCTGGTCATGAGCGCAGCGATGGCGGTGCAGGCCTGTGTCGCTGCGCAGGCGAGAGCAGCCGTGTATCCGCAGGACACGGGGATCTGCATCCACTCGACAAGACGGCACAGCATCAGCTCCCACTGCTCCGAGGACAGATGCCGCGCACACGAGTCCACAATCACGTGGCACAGCTGAAGCGACGTGGAATGAAAGGCAGTTGCGCGCATGTTTGCATGGAGAATAATCAGTGAGCGGTGAGGGTTGGGGAAAGCGTGCATGGGTGAGTGCAAGCGGTGGTATGGTTATGCTGTGTGGGTTTGTGTGTGTGTGTGTGTGCGTGTGTGTGTGCGTGCGTGTGTGTGTGTGTGTGTGTGTGTGTGTGTGTGTGTGTGTGTGTGTGTGTGTGTGTGTGTGTGTGTCAACGTGTGTGTCAACGTGTGTGTCAACGTGTGTTTGTGCGTGCGTGCGTGGTCACCTTGGCGTATTCGGTACAGATTGCCAGTTTCCTGCGCTCTTGTTCGCGCGGCAGCTCTTCCGGCTCAAAATCCTCCAAATCAAGAAGCTCGGCGTCCGCAGCCTCCCACCTGGTGGCCACGGTGGTGGCGTGGGTGAATGGATGGTAGTGATAGCGTGGGTCACGTTTGGTGAACATACGTCGTGCACACAACACAACACAACACAACACAACACAACACAACACACACACACACACAGCCCATGAGAGCGCACTGTTCAAAGACGGCGATGATCCTCTGGAGAAGTTGCCAGGTGCTGGCGGACGCGCAGCCGAAGATGGCGTTGAGCTGCTGCTGGCGCTCAAACGCCCGGCGGCCCGCTGGCAGTCGGTGGTGGCGGAGGTGGTGATGGTAATGGTGGGAGGTGGGATGAGGATGAAACCAGCGTCGCCACTTCCAAAACATGAATGCAGACAAAAAGCAAACACAAAGCACACCAACACATGCTCGCTGTCTCATTCACACACACACACACATGCTCACACAGGCAGACAAACAGGCAGACAGACAGACAGACAGACAGGCAGACAGACAGACACACACACACACACACACACACACAAAGACACGCACATCTGCCCTCACCCATGCTCATCTTGGCCATCTTGTCGTGGTCGACTGTCTGCTGTTGCAGGAACTCCAGTTGGCACAGCGTGTTGGCGTACGAGATGGCGGCAGCAAGCGGATACACCGTTCGCGTCAAATCGTCCTCGTCGTCATCGTCGTCGCTGCCGTCATCGCTGTCGTGCACGTCACCGTCAGCACGATCCGCGGGTGCTGTCAGCATCTCCAGCGCGTGGGTAACGCTGTTCCGTATCCTCTTCATGTCGGCAGCGGCGGCGTCGAATGTGGTCAGCAGCGTCTGGATCAGACGTGTTCGACCGCCAGAGAGCGATTGCTCAGGCGAACCGTCCACGTACAGCCACTCGCTCACATCAGCACCAGCACCGTGCTCGTGTTCATCACCGTTGGCATCGCCATTATCATCAACATGTGAATGGTCGTGATCCTGGTGGGTCGATGCAGACAAGATCGTAGACAGCACCAACAACTCTGATGACAAACCAGGCGTCTCCTCATCATCATCGTCATCATCACCATCGTCATCATCGTCGTCATCACCATCATCCTGGTTGGTGTCCTTGTCATCGTGGCCATCAGCGTCCGCCGTGTCGCCACTTGTTCCCTTCACTCCGGCCACTGCCCGCCTTGCCAGCGTGGCCACCAGTTGCTGCATGTGTGTTCCATCCAGCGTCAGCGTCGTCTCCACAAGTGCGTCCATGCAGTCTGCGAGGGTGTGCGAGATGGGCGCGTGCACGGCCGCTTCCCCGGCCAGCACCGCCTGTGCTGCCTCTGTCGCCATTAGCGCAGTGTACAAGCAGCGCATGTGCGTATCAGGATGGTGCTGCCACACGACCTGCAGCGGTGTACACGTCAGCAGTGACACCCACGCCTGGATCGTGTTGATGAGCGCGTGCTGCTGCTCCTCTGCGCCATATGCGGCCGCCGCCTTTTTCTTCACTCCGCCTGCCATCGCTCGCCACTGCGCGGGTGCGTATGTGTCAGCGTCCTGCCCGAGCTCGCAGCCGGCAAACGTCAGCCCAGACTCCACGGCAAGCGTGGCGCGTGGTGGCAGTGACGCAATACGCGCGTGGGCCGCATGCAGCGGCTGACGCAACTGCGGCAGGTTTGTGATGAAAGCGCACACGCGGCTGTCGTCAACGTCGGCGTGGTCGTCAAAGCACCCAAGGGCCTCCAGCATCTGTAGGTGCGAGTTGAAGCCATCCAGTCGCTCGTGTGTCCACACGCCGCCTGCAGCAACGCTGTCGCCGGTGAGGGTGCTGGCAAGACCGTCCAGACACGCGCGGCGGATGAACGGCATCACCTCATGCACAGGCACTGCTGACGATGTTGTCGACGACGACGGTGTGCTCGTCGCTGTTGTCGTTGTTGTCGTTGTTGAGGGTGCTTCTGCTGACACGACGGATGCAGCAGCACCACCTGCAGCAGCGACGGCGACGCAGGATGGCAGGATGGTCTCTGTGAGCACACCTGCTTCGTTGACGTTGACGGCATCGAGCATGCGGGCGACGGTGGCCGCCACCTCCTCCACGACGCGCAGATCCGCCGCACCGGCTGGCGAGGACGTGAGACGCGTCATCACCGCCGTCAGCAGCGAAGGCAGTGCAGCCACCAGCCAGCTGGAGGCAGTGGCGGTGCTGCTGGTGGTGTCTGCGTGCAAGTACCGCAGCAGCATCAGGCGGGCGCGGATGGCAGCCACGAGCTCAGCGCAGGCGCTGTCTGGGACGGCCACCACGGCACGGCCACCAACCGTGCGATGGGAGAGGAGAAACGACAGCAAGTCATCGGGGCCGTCGCAGGCAGCAGCTCCGGTGCTAGGGTTCACGCTGCCCAGCCCCGTCCGCTCCTCCTGACGCCACTGCCGCCGCTGTGGCCCGCCCTCGCCAGCACCCGAATCAGTGGTATCACTGCAGCGCCGCGGCCGCCGCTGCCTCTGCTGCTGCTGCTGGTGGTGGCGACGGCCGCTGCTGCTGCTGGCTGTGATGAGCATTGCTGCCTGTGCGTCATCCGAGATGAGTGCAGATGCGAGCTGGACAATTCGCGCCGTGAGCGGATTCGGCAGCCCGCGCACCCACTGCGCCACGTTTGTACACGCAGCCATGGCCTCTGCAGCCACGGCGACGTGTGTGAGCTGCAGCTGTGCGGCCATGTGCAGCAGCAGTGCGTGGACGGCGTCGCTCGTCGCGTCGCAGTTGAGCTGAAGAGCAGCGGCGAGGAGATCCCGCACGTCGTCTCGCACCGTGGCAGCAGAGACGGGCGCAGTCGTGGCACCGCCATCGCCACTGCCGTCAGCATTGCCACCGTTGTTATCGGTGTCATCGGTGTCATCGCAGTTGCCAGCGAGAGCATCGACAGCCTGCCGCAGTAGCGCAAGCAGCACGTGAACGACTGCAGCCGTGTCGTCTGCACCGCCATCACCGTTTGTTGCAAGAGTGGTGAGGCGGCACGCCAACACCAGCCGTGCGGTCATCACGGCCTTGAGCATTGTCGATGAGGACGGTGGTGTTGTCTCTTCACTGCCTTGCTGCTGTTGCTGGAGGGTATCTGCCTTCATGCCTGCGACCGCCATAGCAGCGGCTGTTGTTGCTGCCACGTGCTGCACGGCCTCATGCACGGCCTGATCCGAAATCCGCCCGAGCGCAGACACCAGCGGAGACGCCGCCGCCACCACCGCCGCACGTGTGGTTGATGATGACGATGATGATGATGATGATGATGATGATGATGATGATGATGATGACGCTGGTGGCGTGATGAGTGTGCACCACTGTTGAACAACCTGATCTCGCAGCTGTTGCACGACGCGGACGTATGCGTCCTCTACCAGCGCCGTCTCTGCCAATGCCGTCAGCAGCCGCCCAAGCTGCGGCTGTGTGTGTGTGCATGAAGGTGCGTTGCGTGTGAGTGTGTGTGCGTAAGTGTGAATGCGCGGACGTGAGCGCAAGCGCGTGAGTTGTACGCGTGCGTGCGAAAATGTAATCAAGCAACCCGCATGCGCTGGTGGTACAAGGGGTCACCTGCAGCTGGTGCTGTGTGAGCACGTGGGCGAGGGCGGAGCGGGCGGCCTCTTCGATCACCTCATGACTGGTGGAGGTGGTGGTGGTTGTGGTGGTTGTGGTGGTTGTGGTGGGGGGTTTGGGGGTGGGGGTGGTACAGTCGGGACGGGGAGAAGAGAGTTGAGGAGAGGTAGGAACGGGGTCAGCAATCATGTCCAGGAACAGAATCAACACCCAATCCTTCGACACAGGCATATGCATGTCTTTTTTCACACACACACACACACACACACACACACACACACACACACACACACACACACACACCCCACACACACACACACACACCCACACCCACACCCACACACCCACACACCCACACACCCACACACCCACACACACCTGGAGGCGAGTGTGGGGTCGTCTCTGAGGAGGGCGAGCGTGTCTGCAAACGCCGCGAGCCAGAGATCGAACCGCCGCGGCTGCATGGCAACAGATGGCGACGTGACGGCGCTGCTGATTGCAGACAAAACCTCAAGCTTCGTGTCGCCCTGCACACTCTACCAGAGGAAGTATGGCGTGCGTAGCGTGCGTGGCGTGCGTGAATTGGGTGAATGGGCGAATGGGTTAGATGGACAGGTTGATGTGAAGTGTACACCTGCAGTCCTTGCTTACATCTGGGAGCGCAGCGACGATCTTTGGGAGGAGTGGGAAGAGGGTGTGGTGGGCCGGACCGCCACCATCGTTTAGCATCACGCAGATGGGGGCTATGACATCTGCCAGCACATTCACGTTTGGCCACAGCACCTGCACACACACGCGACGCAGGCGAGGGGGCGTGGTGGGTTGGTGGGTGAGGCGAGGGAACACATGACTTGGGGGGGGGGGATGGAAAGGTAGCACTGCACACGCGTACCCCTGCCAGCGTTTTGCATGCATATGTACACGAACAATACATTCAACAAAAGCACGACACAATACAATGCAACACGAAGTAACACCTCGCATCGCAATACATGATAACACGCACGTCTGGCGTCTTTGACATGGTGAAGACGAGCAAGAGGGAGGCGGCGACGGTGGTCGGGTTTGCAGCAGTCATGCCCTTGATGCAAGCCGAGAGGATGCGCTTCTCCAGTCCGTCCACCCACACCCGGTGCTCCGTCAGCACCGCACACGCCAGGTCGCACACCGCCCGCTGCAGTCGGGCACGTCAGGCGGGTGACACGTGCAGTTGAGTGAGGATAAGGGGGGGGGTGGTGGTGGTGGTGGGAGGGTTGCATGAACGGGAATGTGTGTGTGTGTGTGTGTGTGTGTGTGTGTGTGTGTGTGTGTGTGTGTGTGTGTGTGTGTGTGTGTGTGTGTGTGTGTGTGTGTGTGTGTGTGTGTGTGTGGGTATGGTTGATTTGCACAGGGCACAAGGCACACGCATGTACATGTATAAGACACATACATGCACGTGTGTAAATGTTGACAAACGCACGTGGACGAGGGGTTTTGTTGCCTTTGAGAGCTTCCACAAGCGGGAAGCGCGAAGAAGAGACATGTAAGCATCTTCCTCCTCCATCAGGGACTGGGGAGAGGGGAGTGTGGGCCATGTGTGTTTGTGTGCGCGTGTGGGGGAAGTGAGTACAAGGTGAGAAGACCTCATGCGAACCAAACAGGTAGAGGAGCAGAGGAGCAGAGGGCAGAGGGCAGAGGGCAGAGGGGTAGAGAGCGGAGGAGACATGCAGACACAGACACACACACAGTAACAAACAAACACAGACACAGAAACAGAAACAGACACACGCACACAGGGACACAGCGGTGGCACCTTGAGTGGGAGGGTTGTGATGAGGTGGTGGAGGGCCATGACAGACGTCGCCTGGATACGTTCCAACTTCTCCGTCAGCTCCACGTCGTCCTCACCTGTGCCCGCCGCACGCAGCGACTCGAGCGTCACCTCCATGATGTTGTGCGTCAGCGCCTGCGTGCGGTGTGCAGTGTGCGTTGTGTGTGTATGTATGTGTGTGTGCACATGTAAGATGAGGAGTTGATACAGCAGAAGTGCTACGGTCAGATGTGATGCTGTGCTGTGATGAAGCATGTGGCGCGTACCAGCAGGATGTCATGCTGGCAGAAGACGATGCTCTTGGTGCGCTTGTCCTCGGGGAACGCCGTCTCAAAGGCGCGCGTCGCCAGGTTGGCCGCTTCCGCATGCGTATCGCGCATGGCGCACAGCCACGCTCTGCGTGCATAGTGTGTGTGTGTGTGTGTGTGTGATGAGGGAGGGAAGCAGGGAAGACCGAGGGAGTGCATGTGGGAGTGCATGTGAAGAAGACCGCCACGTGCGCCCCGTTGTGTACGCCATGTGTGCGTGTGCAAGTGTTACGGTGCGCGGCCTACCCCATGATGGGTTTGAGGGCCGGCAAGATCTTCTTTTGGGCGCGATCGACCATGATGCTCCAAGCTCGCTGCGTGAGCTCCCGTATCCTGCGGTTCGAGTCCTGCCGTGGTGCATTCAGCATTTGGGCGATGTGAGGACACTTGGGAAGCGCGGCAGGAGACAAAGGGAGAGTGCTGAAGGTGACAGTCACACACAGGGCACACAGGGCACACACCATCGACAAGCGGTTGTAGAGGCGAGGCCATGCTTGCACGAGGGCGACCACGGTGTCATCGTCACTCGCTTCCAGTGCCTTGCACAGCTCCTGTAACGTCTGAGAAGGGGGGGGGGGCGCGAGAGAGAGAGAGAGAGAGAGAGAGAGAGAGAGAGAGAGAGAGAGAGAGAGAGTGTGTGTGTGTGTGTGTGTGTGTGTGTGTGTGTG